CCCTGTTGACCTGCTCGTCAAAGTCGCTGAAGGTGATGAACTCGAAGGGCCCGCCGTTGGGAGGTCGGCATCCCAGGAAGGGTTTGGGGCCGTAGCGTTTGCACGCCCTGGGAGGGATCCGAGCGTCAGAGACAGGGAGGGACCCGACAAGGCAGAGGGGGAGAAACAAGCCATGCGAGTTTTCAAAGCAAAAGGAGACAGAGAGGGAAAACCCGCGTGCTTCCTTCCTCTCACGCCCTCGAAATTCGCCCCCCTCGCCCCCCGCGCGTACTTCTCCTGCATCTCCGTGAGAGTGTCGTACTGGAGGCCCCCAAAGCCCACGGAGAAGGTGCGAACCGGATTGGTCAGGACGGGCATGAAGAGAGACGGCCTGGCTCCACACCCGCGTGCCATGAGCGCCGCAGTGTGTGCCATGGTTGGAACAGTCTGTGGAGACACATGCGAAGAAGACTGGTGGTGAGAGGGAGAGCGGGGAAGGCAAGAGGAAACGCAGTGAAGCCGTGGATGGAGTCGCACCTCAGTTACACGACGTGGAGTATTGTCTACAAGGATACGTCCTGGGCGTGTTAAAGCTTTGCGGCCGCCCGCAAGGAGGATGGAAGGGGCGCGTTGGAGGAGCATGGGGGAGTGAAGGATAATGGAGAGCTGGAAGTGAAATGCTCGTTGACAGGACTGTTCCACGTAAGGACAAAAGTAGTGGACACCTCGCCTCGCTTCTACGTCTCACTCGACGTCCTCGGTGCGGCGCTGTCGCCTGTGCGATGTGCGTGAAGTATGAGGGTGGGGAGGGGCGCAGATTGCGGTTGGAGCCAGGTTGATATTGAAGGGCAAGCGTGCTTCTTAAGCGAGTGAGAACAAGGAGGAGGGGGGGCGTCCCAGAGCCATTTCCAGGACCAAAACCACAAACACCGGACGCTGTAGGCCATGTCGGCCTTCTCAGATGCCTCGGAAGGTCTAGCACCGCCCCAGGATGACCGTACAGCCCTCGTGGCTGCGGGAGACTGGCGCTGTCTCGAGGTCCGGGGTGAGGCATCGGCTCTTCAAGGAGGAAGCGTTACGTTCCAGGGGGAGGACATTGGGGGGGAAAAGAGCACGCTTTCTACGCGATTCGGAGGGAGGAAAGTCGCATAAATGTGGGCTTTATCTTTTATAGTATACCTAATTAAAAAAATACGAATATTCCATCTGGTGGGACCGAATTGATCCCTCAAAGCATGCTTTCCATGTTCCCATGAGGAAAATTCCATCTTTCGAGCCAGAGAAGTAAGTGCAAAGCAGCAATTCAAAAGCTACAAAGGACTATTGCAAGTGTTTAAAAGTCATTGCGGTGGTTTTAAAAGTCGTGTAATGATGCAGTTCGAACCTGTCGTCGTGTCACATTTCAAGAGACGAGATCATGGAGGTAGCAACGCAAAGCATTTTGTGTGGCATCGAACAAAATCATGTTTGTTGCCTTGGAATGCTCCTTAAAACCTCAAAAGAGTGTTTGCATGGATATTTTTTGGTAGGATTATTATCCATTGATACCAACTGAGGAACCTCCTTCAGGAATGCCTTACTCCTCTATTTTACTGTCTTTGCGCCGCCCACACCGGTGAAATGCGTGGATGAGTTAAAATAATGAAAACGATGCACGTCAAGACACCACCCCAAACGGAATCAGCCAGAGCGAATCCCCACCAGTACGAAGAGAGAGTGCTCATGTTAGTCCAGTCGTAGACGGCATAGCATGCCACCCCCAATCCAAAGGCCTCCCAGGAGGAGTTGGCGCGGGACACAAGGTACGCCAAAGCCACGTAGACAGGGACAGCTGCCCAGACCCGAAACTCCAAGGGCTGTTTTTGGATGTCCTCCACCATGTTTTGCACATTCCCGCTATTGATGAGCAGCCAGGGCAAGTCCACGAGCACGTAGAGAAGAGCGGCGAGCGGGTAGAAAGGCCAGCCTGGGCTCTTACGTCGCATGGCCACCTCGCTCCATTCCAATGTCTCGCTTTGGACAGACTGATACATGAGCTTTGAAGTGGCACTCTTTATCCGCGTCCGTGCCTAGGTCGTAGAGGAAATGAAGGAGGACCACGGTGTCACTTTCAGTTTGCCACAATCCTGAGGGCTTTCGCAGGGGCCACGGGTGTGCGCGCAATAAAATCAATGCAAAGAGGAGAAAAACTGTCTAAAAAAGGTCAGGTGCAAGCCACGCAAGCAACGAGGGGCTTTTGCGTGGTGCAGACGACGCTCGCCCGCATGGTATGCTCTGAGTCGCTATTGGAACATACTCGACGAACAGCACCCCCCATCTCTCGCATGACACGTAAAACCTGCACCACATTGTTACCTGATTCCGAGAGACGTCTCACTTTACAAATCCGCATAACAAACACCTAGGATGACACACATACAATCAGCTTGGTAAGGCGAGGCCTAAGACCCGTGCTTAAGCTGCGGGAGCCTAGCAGATACTTTTCGAGCCGGTAAAAAGCGACTCCTGCGTTGAAGAAGACATGGCCCCCCTGGTCCTCATCGACTCGTCCGATCCACCATGGCGTAACGCGCCTACGCGTACGATCGTAGTGCTCATGGATGTGTTGGCTCTCGGAGGGTTGATCTGTGCACGTTTTTGGGCCAAGAGGGCTCATTCTCCTGTCTTCTCGTGCCTCGGACATCCTGGCAAGGTAAGGAGACGGATCAAATTATTGGGATCGGGGCTTCGTCCGGCTGGCACAAACTCTGCGAGCAGGCACTCATTGTCTTCTCTACCGTTCACTTACTTCTGTCCTTCGCCTCCTTCCAGCTCCACCTTCTTTCCGTCTCCCTCTTCTCCTTCGCGGCCCTCCAATGCATCTCGCACGTGTCGCTCCTTTCCTACCAGAACGGCCAAGATTTCAAACTTGGCGCCTACGCAGTCGCAGGCATCGCTGCCGTGCTCGCCTACACCAGCTTCAGCACTCTCCTCCTGTACTTGAGCCTCATTTCCCGCCCGTCTCCCATAGGGGTCGTCAGCCTGGTGGCCAGCCCCGCCTTCTTCCTCCTCGCCATTCTCTCCGTCCTTGACCCAGCCTTAGCACACAAGGACCGCGCCTCTTTCTTCCTGGCCTGGTTCCCCTGGTGGGGAAACCTGGTGCTGCACTTGATTGTGTCCTCGTACCCTCTCCCTCCCTCCCTCCCGCCCGTCACCTGGGGGGGGGCAATCCCCCTCCTAGGACGCGGGGAGGCACTGAAGAGGCCAGGGGTGATGAGGATGGAGGAAGACGTGAGGGCGTGCTTCAAGCTACCCTTGCTTATTTACTCCTCTCTGAGCTCTCTCTGCCTGCTGGCGGGCGTGGCGGTGAGGGAGGAGGAGGGCGGGGCGAGGAAGGCCCTGGCCCTGGGGATGGCCGTGTGGGTGCGATCCCTGTGGCCCCTGCACGCGGGGACGATAGGCCTGCAGATGGCGGCACGATGGGCAGATGGGAGGGAGGCACGGGGGAAGAGGGGAAGAGGGGCGCTCGTGGAGGTGATGGAGG